GCGGGGGCGGCAGAAGGGCGCGCGCGGGGGGCGGCCACAGCTGCTGCGAGCCTCCAGCCTGCCCGATGCGCTGCCGCCTGGCCATCCCCCACTGGGGGATGGGAGGGTGCCCTTGCCCCTCCAGCCACCTCCCCAGCCCTGCCATGACCAGAGCGGCTCCGAAAGCACATTTTGCCCCGTGCCGCGTTCGCCTGGCTCCGACGGTATCGTGTTAAATCTCCCCCGAGAGATGAGCTTGGGGCAAGATGTCTCCTTGGGGCAGAAGGAGCATCCGGGTGGAGGCAGCCCAGGGCTGGTGCAGATGCAGGCCCCGTGGCAGAGCCAGCATCCCGCGGCGCCGCAGCTGCAGGTGGTGATGGAGAGCAGAGGCGAGGAGGGCAATGCCGCTGACACCAGCAGTTGCTCTGCCTCGGCCGGGGGTATACCAGCCTCACTGGGTGCCCTCCAGCTCGCAGAGGAGAACCCTGGGGAAAGGGAGTTAAGTGTAAGTGCAATCACTCCAAACGTGCTGAAGAAAGCTGAGGAGGGGAGTGTCCGGGCTGGAGAGAACAAGGAGAGCTGTGGTCCTCAGTCTCGTGATGCAGGAGAGCCCGGCCGGGTTGCCGTGCTGAAGCAGCAGATTGCTGCTCTGGAGGAGCAGCTGAGCAAGAAGAAGGAAGAGCTTGAGCAGATCAGGGCAGTGCTGGAGCAGCAAGATCATGAGATCAAGGAGAAGGAGAAAAGCATTAAGTTACTGGCCAGCTCCAAAGCTCAGCTGGAAGAGAAGCTGTGCCGGGAAAACACCAAAGAGGCCAAGCTGCCGTCCAGGCAGAGCAGCGGGGCTTTGCAGTGCTACGATGCTGCAGTGAACACTGACCTCTCGCAGGTAACCGGGGCCAAGCAAGCCCATGATAAAGGCATCAATGTAAATATCCCAGTGTCCACCAAATCCATAGGATGCAGCGTCCACAGAGCAGACAACATGAACGTGCAGGTGATGGAGCTGGGTGCTCAGAGAGATCAGGGACTGGCAGACTCTTGCACTGGTGTCAGTGGAGAGGGACCCCGACATTTTGGTGACATCGAGGCTGACCTTCATGCACCGTGCTTCACCCATGTGAAGAC